TTCACATGAGACTGCTAGAAACACAGGACCAGGAAGTACAGCTCCGCAGTGCTCTGTGCTCCAGCACCCAACAGCTTGCTGCATGATGTCATCATATGGAATGCTGATAAAATCAGGACACCAGTTAACGTGTATTTTGCATCAGTGTTTAAAGAAGTGAAAGGTGGAGGTTTTCCTGAGCCTTCTGTTGAGAGATGAACAGCAGTGAGTATGTTAAGTATCAATAACCTGTACTACTCAAAAAGACAAATTAGTGAGTTTATGTGCAAAATGAATGGGTGAAGGAGAACAGTAAGACAGTCTGTGGTGGAGGTGAGGGTCTGTAAAGTGAAATGCATGCAAGTGAAACTGCATGCAGACTTGAACAGTATCCAAGTAAATACACAAAGCTGGAACCAGACCAAAAATTACTTACTGAGCTGGGTATGAATACTTGACAACAAGCATTTCTTGCTACGGAGCTGCCTTTCCCATTTATGCCATTCCTTTAGAGGATGTCCTATAACTATAAACAATGAATCAATTGAACCGAGCCTACTGGGCTTTCTGAATATTTACATAAACTGGATAGTAGAATTAAGTTACTAGTAGTTTGCTTTGAGGTATCTTGATGTCCTTTGCAATGTAAATGGCCTATCTGATTCTCTAAGATGCCTAGCTTTTCTTGTACAGCTCTGTAAGTCTGCCTGTGTTGTAGGCAAGTTCAAGAGCTGATGTAAATCACTGCTGCTATCTTAGATCATCTTTGAAGTAGTTTGCGAGGCATAGACTGTGTTGTGATTTATTTGGTACAGTGTGAGTGAACAAGTGAATTTTGGTGAGCCAGGGAGTGTTGAGAGATCTCCCTAAGTGGCACAACGTGCTTCTGGATTGAGCTGCAGGGTAGTCTTGCCCTAGAAGAACAGGTAGTTCCTGCATTGTTTATACTTGTATAACACATGTAACTGATGACATTATACAAAAATGAGATATCTTCTTAAGACTTAGAGTTAAACATATGAACCCTTTGTTTAGATACATTTTTCAGCTTAAGTTCATCTCTGTTAATTTTTTTTTCAAATTCTAATTCAGTGAGACAGTTTTAAACAGGGGCCTTGTCCCTTTGCAGACATTCTGCTTATCTGTGGATAGTTATTCTGCATGAAAGGTGAATCATTCCTCTTTTCATCCCCTTGTAATTCCTCTGTTTTGTTGGTCTTTTGTTCACTTTACATTGTCAGCTTTATATTTATTGCCTTATTTTTGAAGCCTTTGTGTTTTGTGGGAGTGAAGCCATCACTGCAGGTATTTATGCAGAGAAGTAGGGCAAGGTAGCCTTGTTGTGTATGCAATAGAGTGGGTGTTTATTAAATTATCATTCCTTGATTATAATTGCTGTTCTTTGTTCATGAAGAATAGAAGGAGTTAGCCATCCAGGTGAATGGATACTGTAGTAACTTCTGCACTGCAGCTTTTATGTGGTGACATTTCTATATGCTAGCCCTTAGGAGGAGCATCACTGGTGTGGTATTGTGAAAGTTACCTTGAAAAATCCTAGTATTTTTACAATCACTGCTTTACAGCTGTGTGTTTTTAGATCCATACACACGAGTATTACCTATGTAATATACATGCAATCTGTATACTCTATAGGTATACATCTATAAATCCTAATTCTAATAGAATATATAATTATGAATGTAAGTCTCAGTAGAGATCACTAGGTACTGTAGTCTAAGCTGTTCTGCTCCTTGCATCTAACTATTAAGGTAAAGCTCCCTTAAGTTAATCCTGAAGTATTTACAAGCAAGTAGTGCACCAGAGTCATTGTAACTAAAGCAGGTAGTGAAGCTGGGCTTCATCGTATCCCTCTGATGTTACCTCTCCACTTGAAAGAGAGCGTCAGATCTTCCTTTCTCTATGATAGCCTCAGGCTGGGAGTGTTAAGCCAGCCTGCTGGGTCCTGGTATGGCTGTATTGTAATAACAGGTCACCTCACAGCAGAGCAGTCCCACAAATGCCAGACAGTGAGTCAGAGTGCTGCTAGCAAGTTAGAATGTTTTCTGGAGGGAAGGTTATAAGACAGTCAGTTTAATTCTACAATACTTGCACTGCCTGGAAAGATAAAGATAACTGGCAGCTCTTAAGTGATGCCTGTTGAGGGGGAAAGAATATTCTCTAAAGAAGCAGAGAAGGATGTGAGGACTACAGGAACATTTCAAGTTCTGAGCTCAGCAGCTTTTACAAAGAACCCAAACCTGAGGGACATTTTCAGGCATCTAGAGGAGTTAGTGATGGTTAAAACAGTTCCTTGAGCGGGTGGTGGTGGTCTCTGGGTTTATTTTGTTTTCAGTAATGTGGTGTATGCTGATTCCTGTGTGCCATGGAGTACAGGCGCTTGCTTTGCATAGCTGTGTGCTGGTTTTTCTGTCTAGCAGCACCTGTGCTCAAGGCTCTTGGGAGCTACTAATGAGGCAGGGGCATCCTTTGCAGATTTCTCCATCACAAATTCAGATGTGATTTGGGATGACTGTCATACTTTCCTTGTGACATTGCACAAGGCTTTTTCACTGTTCTTTGCCATATACACGCCATCAGTGAAGGCATACCGTATTTATCTGTGTGGGGATCCTATGTGAGAGACACTTGTGGTATCTGATGAGGCTACAGCCTCAATATGCATCAGTAAGACTGAGTGTCACTTACAGATAGCAGAAGCAGCACAGATTCCTGGCTCCTGTTTGTGTCTGTTAAAGCATGACTCAGTGTAGGTTCACTCCTCTTGAGCATCTGTGGCATTCAGCTCACAACCCACAGTGAGCACGTTGTGTAGCACTCTTTCTGTCACACACACAGACAGGACTTCCTGTAGTGTGGCTTTCACATTATTTTCTGGTTCTGCTTTACTGTTAAGATCTGATTTTTTTTATTTTATTTTTTTTTTTTTTTTCTTAGGTGGTTTTTGAGTGAGTGTGGATGGATTTTGAGCGTGTGCTTCAGATTAAGTAATTTAAACTGGAAAGGCGGTGGCATTGACTTCAGTTGTCAAGCATTCTGTTCCTATTTGTATTTTTGTAAGGGATTTTTCCTCATTGGTTGATACGATCCTTCAAAGTTAATTTGTACCTAAATATATCCTTCCTCTAATTCTCTAGCCAAAGGAAATCTTTAGTTTCATACAAATGTTACTTCATTCTGTAGTTAAATTACGATATTGTCTTGCCTTAAGCTTGAATGACAGCGCTGATATAACACTTTTTCAGAATCCTTTAGGCTTCAACTACATAAACTTTAAATGAATCTCATAGACTGTATAGCTTTTTCTTAATGTCTATAATTTTTCATCTGTCTCTAGATGCTGACGTTCATTTTTTTTCTGAACTTTAAAAATGAATTGATTCAGTCCTTTGCAGATTCAGGGTTTAGAGGCTGAAAAAAGAAAACAAACTCCCTTGTCTTTTCAGTTTTTAATCAGATTTAAATCCTCAGTGGAGTAATAAAGTTTTAGACATTTAGGCATATGCTTATGCTACATAGAACAAAACCAGAAGGTTTTTATGTTTAGTTCCATGTATTTCACTAGAAAGGAGGAAAATTGTGCTTAATACAGCACTGCAGTTTGAAACAGTGAACTGCAAGATATTCCCACTCCCAGCATGTATACAACTCCAAAAGCAATGTGCTTCTGAGAATTCATTGACTCACAGTAAAGTTTTCAGTTGCCGAAAATAAGACCTTCACATAGGCTGCCATAACCTTACTTTTAATGTAAACGCCTTCAGAAGGATTGTGGAGCAAACTGCTATTTTTGTTCTGTAATCTCTGTTTTAGGCAACAGAGGATCACCTCAGATCAGTAGAAGAGACTGGGCTGCCTTTTGCAAGGGGAGAGACAATAGAACACGCCCACGCTTTTTGACATTCCTTGTTTCTTATGACGGATGCTGAATGTGTGGTTGTTGTGGTTTTTTTTCCCTATAGCACTGACTGAAGAAAAAGTAGGTTGAGTGGTGGCTGTAAAAGTAAGGGCTTTTTCATTTTCAGATCCATAAAGCAAAAAGCAGTAGTTAAAGCAACAGTATGAGTACAGTGAACTTGAAGACCAAACTAACTCCTGCAGTAGATTGTTAATTATCTACCTTAACTGCTTCATAGTTTTCAGAATGTGCTCTCTTCCTAAGCAGAGGGGCATTTAAGACTTGAGAACTGCTTTCCTGCTATGTGAGGACATTCTGTTAGAGCAAAATACTCCGAGGAGATGTGCACATTTAGTGAACCCTTTCCTTGAGTCTTGGAGTCTTCCTGGAGCTCAGCCTGTAATGGCATTCTCAACTTCTCGTTTGTCTGGAAGAATGATAAGACTGTAATGGCTTCTTCCCACTCAGCTTTATCAGCTAATGAATTTATGGGTTTGGCCTGTACTATCAGAATTCAGTTGCTTTATTGAATGCAAATTCTTATGTCTTAGTAGGAAAAATAAAGCTCTTGATCTGCAGATAAGTGCCAAAGATGAATATTTTGAACTGCTTTGGGCAAGTCTAGCATCTTCAGCTGGATGGTTCTGGGATTGGTATAGGCTGATAATATCTTTTGCTACATTTTGCATCTCACCTAAATCAGGATGAGACTGAACATCCATGCTGTGTGCTATCTGATGCAAAGGGGAAGTTCTTACCCAGTTGAAACTAAAGCACTTTGCACAAGACTAGCAACAAAGCTATGGATTACTGGGTTTTACTGCTTGTCCTTCTCAGGACTGCTTTATGGTGATGTGTTGGCAGTATTGGAGAGGAGCTTGACCCAGTGGTATCCATGTTGCAGTAACATTTTGCAGGTCAAACTCTGCAAGCCTGCTAATAATCCAGCATGTGCACTATTCGGTACTTGTAAAGAGAAAGTATGTAATAATAGATGATCTCTGGATGTGGGGAGAAGTAGAATCTATAGGTGTGCTTTTTTCAGTTGTTTATGCCATTTTGCATTTGTTTTCTTGTCCACAATGGACTGGTTTTGTCTTTGTAGGAGGAAGAAGAACAAGAGGAAGAAGATGATGATGAAGATGATGATGATACAGATGACCTTGATGAACTAGATACAGACCAGCTACTGGAGGCTGAGTTGGAGGAGGATGAGAACAATGAGAATGCTGGTGAGGATGGAGAAAATGACTTTTCGCCCTCTGACGATGAGGAACTTGCCAACCTCCTGGAAGAGGGTGATGAGGGTGAAGATGAAGACTCTGATGCTGATGAGGAAGTTGAGCTGATTCTTGGAGATAGTAAGTACCTTTACCAGCTTGGTAACCACAGGTGACCTTGTCCTCCGTTTAATGTCATGACAAACATGCAGATCTAACTGAATCGACTTAGCTGACTTTTTCCCTCATTGGTGTGTAAGGCACAGTACATCATGCTTGTTTACCCATAGCCTCTCATAGCCAGCTGTCAGTAAAAACAATTGTTATCTGAGAGAGCAACTCAGTGAGTTCTGGAAAAGAAGGTATTTCCGTTCTTCAAGAGCTCCCAGCTGTGTGTGTGAAATCTTAAAGGTGGGCCAGGAAACAACAACATAGGAGAAGCCGTGTCTGTTTGCTTGTCCTGCACTTTGAGGGGTCTCTGGTTGAACCTGTCACTTCACTTCTCTACCTTATTTGTGCCTGTTAGGACAGTGAAGCCTTCTTTCTCTTCTGCAGTTGCTTAAAGTGTGAAGTCAACATGTCATTTCTGACTTTGCATCCTTTTTTCTGCTACTAACGTAACTTTTGAGATAAAATTGAAATTCTTTTCTTTTTTTCTGGCATAGATACAGAAAGTTGAAAAATTAACAGAGACTGTGAGTGTAAGAAAGAAAGGTCTAAACTCTTTACCTAGCATTTCAGTTTGGAAAAAGGCTTACAAGAAAAAGAAGGTGAGTTGTAGTGTCAGGTTTGGTGTTTGTGCCATCAGATTCTGTTCTTTTTATTTTTTTTCCCTAAATCTAAATCTTTTTGAGTTCCAAGGTGTGAATCACAGAATCACAGAATTGTAGGGGTTGGAAGGGACCTCAGTGATCATCGAGTCCAACCCCCCTGCCAAAGCAGGTTCCCTACAGCAGGTCGCACAGGTCGGCATCCAGGCAGGTCTTGAACATCTTCAGAGAAGGAGACTCCACCACCTCCCTGGGCAGCCTGTTCCAGTGCTCCGTCACCTCACTTCTGTCGCACATTTGTGCAGAGCTTCCTATGCTGCAGTTTCCGGCCGTTTCCCCTTGTCCTGTCTCCACTCACCACTGAAAAGAGTCTGGCCTCACCATTCTGCCCCCCACACCTTAGATACTTCTAGATCTGGATCAGGTCCCCTCTCAGTCTTCTTTTCTCAAGGCTGAACAGACCCAGTTCACTCAGCCTTTCTTCATAAGAGAGATGCTCCAGGCCCTTCACCATCTTTGTGGCCCTCTGCTGGACTCTTTCCAAGAGATCCCTGTCTTTTTTGTACTGGGGAGCCCAGAACTGGACACAGTACTCCAGATGAGGCCTCATCAGGGCAGAGTAGAGGGGGAGGATCACCTCCCTCGACCTGCTGGCCACGCTCTTTTTAATGCATCCTAGGATGCCATTGGCCCTCTTGGCCACAAGGGCACACTGCTGGCTCATGGCCAACCTGTCGTCCACCAAGACACCCAGGTCCCTCTCTGCAGAGCTCCCCTCCAGCAGGTCTTCCCCTGTGCCAGTACCGCTGCATGCAATTATTCCTCCCCAGATGCAAGACTCTACACTTGCTTTTGTTAAACCTCATCCGGTTTTCTTCTGCCCAGCTCTCAGCCTGTCCAGGTCTCGCTGAATGGTAGCATGGCCTTCAGGCGTGTCAGCCAATCCTCCCAACTTCGTATCATCAGCAAACTTGGTGAGGGTGGCCACCATCCCCTCATCAAGGTCATTGATGAAGATGTTGAACAAGACCGGACCCAGCATCGACCCCTGAGGAACACCACTGCTTACAGGCCTCCAGCCAGACTCTGCACCGCCAAAGACGACCCTCTGCGCTCTGCCAGTCAGCCAGTTCTCAACCCACCTCACTGTCCACTCATCTATCCCACACTTCCTCAGCTTTTTTATAAGGATGTCGTGGGGGACAGCATCAAAAGCCTTGCTGAAATCAAGGTAGACTACATCCACTGCTCTCCCCCATCCACCCAGCCAGAGACAACATCATAGAAGGCTACCAGGTTGGTCAAGCACGACCTCCCCCTGGTGAACCTGTGCTGACTACTCTTGATAACCTCCTTTTCCTCCAGTTGTCTAGAGATGACATCCACCACAAGCTGTTCCGTCACCTTTTCAGGGACAGAGATGAGGCTGACTGGCCTATAATTGCCTGGATCTTCCTTCTTGCCCTTTTTGAAGACCGGAGTGACATTGGCTATCCTGCAGTCTTCAGGCACCTCCCCCATCCTCTAAGACCTCTCAAAAATGACCAAAAGCGGTTCAGCAATCACCTCTGCCAGCTCCCTCAGCTCCCATGGATGCATCCCATCGGATCCCATGGATTTGTGAACATTGGTGTTGCCTAGGTGCTCTCGGACCACCTCTTCCCTGACTGAAGGAAGGTCTTCCATTCCCCAGAATCTTTCACTAACCTCCAGGATCTCATATTCCTGAGGAGGAGCTTTTTCACTGAAGATAGGAGCAAAGAAGGCATTCTCCGCCTTCTCAGCATCCCCCGTTACCAGAACACCTCCGTCACTTAGCAGGGGAGCTACATTCTTCCTAGCCTTCCTTTTACTGTTAACGTACTTAAAAAAACAAACAAACAAACCTTTTTTATTATCCTTTATCCCCTTCACCAGATTAAATTTCAGGTGGGCTTTAGCCTTCCTCGTCGCATCCCTGCAGGCCCTGACAACATTCCTATATTCTTCCCAAGTAGTCAGACCCTTTTTCCAGATTTTCATGGGCCGCCTTCTTTCCTTTGAGTTTGCGCACGAGCTCCTTGCTCATCCACATAGGTCTGCTGTCACCCTTTCCCGATTTCTTCCTCACAGGGATGCACTGATCCTGAGCTTGGAAGAAGAGCTGCTTAAATGCCGACCTGCTCTCACAGGCCACTTTATACCTTGTAAACACCCTAGCCCATGGGATAGCTCCAAGTAGGTCCCGGAAGAGATCAAAGTTGGCTCTCCTGAAGTCCAGGGTAGCAATCCTACTTTTTGCTTTACTTCTTCCACTCAGGATCTTGAACTCCACCATCTCGTGGTCACTACAACCCAAGCTGCCCCCGACCTTTACTTCCCTGACAAGCCCTTCTCTATTAGTGAGAATAAGGTCCAGCAGTACCCCTCTCCTTGTCGATTCCTCAACCACCTGCATCAGGAAGTTGTCATCAACACATTGCAGGAACCGTCTGGATCGCGCGTGCCTGGCCACATTGCTTTTCCAGCAAATATCTGGATAATTGAAGTCCCCTATAAGCACCAGCGCCTGGGATCATGACGCTGCTTCCAGTTGCTTGTGGAAGGTCTCATCAACCTCCTCCTCCTGATCGGGGGGCCTGTAGCACACTCCCACAACAGTGTCAGCCATACCAGCCTGCCCCTTGATTCTCATCCACAAGCTCTCCACTGAAATAGGTATAAGATGGTTCCCTTGGCTTAAGAGGCTGATAGGGCCTCTTAATTAGTAATTAGTGAATTACTAAAAAACGTGAATTAGGCATTCACGTGGTAGGTGTAGTACAGAGGATTGCACTGGACACTTTCATAGCTTAAATTCATTAATAGAGTATTGCACTTCAACATTTTGGGGTTGCATGTAACTTCTGCCTGTCTCATTAGCTGATATGTTAATGCTGATACAATTCTGCTTCAGTTTTGGCAGAGGATGCACGGCTCAGTGCTGTTAAGAGAGCTCCCAAAATGCTCGAACTGGAGTTGTCCAGGGGCAGAGCAGAGCGGCGATTCAGGGCAGTAATTTCAATAGCTATTCCCATAACAAAACTCAATGCTACCTAACAGTTACTTCAGTGCTTTGCAGAACACTGCAGATTACAAAATGTCCACGTGTGTATGTTGTTAATGGATAGAGCCATTTGGGATTTGGTATTGCAGCAGAGCTCCCTGTTTTTCTCTGTTTTGGTTGAATCTCCCTACACAAGTGTGCTTCAAAATAAATAGTTCAAAAAACAACTGAAATGGGAGTGAGCAGCTTTCTTGTCTCATGACTTAGAAGAGATTGCTTCCTTTTCAGCAACAATCCATGGAGAAACTCTTAAGTATAAATTTGCTTTGTTTCTCCACTGTTAACACTTCGGGTTGACTAGGTCCATTTATCTTGCCCAAAGCAATTTGTGCACTGAACCCAGAAACTTGTTCCTGGGCAAGGAGATTTGTCTTTTTTGAAGTGGACATGGCATATATGTATGATAGATGAGAATTCCACATTCTTCTTCCATGTCCAGGACAGGAGTCACCTTGGAATGTGCTGAATTCAAGTATCTGCAATGATGCCTTTTCATCAGCATGGCTGACTTTGTCTCATCAATTTCTTCTATAATCTGAAATGGCAATTTCCAGGCAGGTCTTACAAGCTTCTTCCAAGCAGTTAACTGCAATCAGGTTTACTTTTAGATTTGAGCTTTACATCTGTAAGGTTATATGGTGGACTGGAGCATAAGGAGCTAGGAAGTCCCTCTTCAAAGCTTTCTTCTGGTGCTCATAGGTAAGAGCAACTTTTTCAGCTGCTTTTATTCTCCAGAGCTTCTGGATTGTTATCTCACTCGGACTTCTTTCCCTCTTACTGTGGAAGTGTGGCTACTGGCGTTTAGTAGCTCTCCTTGTGTTGCTCTGGGAGCACAGATCACCCTTCAGTTCATGGTCAGCATGCTGGAAGGTGAGACTAGAGCTGGTCACAGTGAAAAGCACCTGGCAGTATGAGGAGGGGCATTGCTGTTCTGCAGCTGTGGTTACTTGCCCCACTTCTTAGCAGTACATGCTCCTGGGCAGTCTGTACTTTCCTTGGAGCTTCTTTAAGCAGTTCAGAAGTAATTGCTCCTTCTCCCCCTGTTCTTCATGGGGAAATAGCACACTCATGAATGAGTATGGCTCCAGTACTGGGTGCATCAGAGACCTGGGGAATTGAGGCCAGAAAGATCAGCTTATTTCCAAGTAATTTTTAATCAGAAGGACAAGCTTCCTGTAAAGTCCTCTGATAGGCCTGGAAAAGAAGTGTGCAGGATACTCCAGCAGTCAGCTGTCTGTACAGATTGCCAGTGTGGTGTAGGATAACTTTATCTTCAGTTTGGGCATTCCATTTTTCTCTTCCTTCTTAGAAGCTTTCCTTCTTAGAAGCTTTCTCAGAGAAGAGGGTTGGGGAAAAGGGTTTGTGCCCTCTGGTGCTTGCCTGTGATTTTTTTTTTTTTTTTCTTAAGGATATCATCTGAGAAGGTTGAATGTTCCAGAAAGCCTTGCTTACCTTAACAGGCATTATAGAGATCCAGTATAGCGATGGCTAAATGGAAGTCTTGGTGTCTTTTTTTCTTCCCTAACTATTTTTAACACCTAGTTAACTGCAGCATCCAGTGAATTTACATAGGAGATAGAACCATCGTCATCTCCAAGGTAAGGCAGGAAGTTTCCTTGATGCCAGAGCTGCTGCTACTTCCCTCTTGTGCAACTGAGGAAGGGGAGATTTTCTACAAAAAAGCAAGTGTGTGTGTGTGTGTGTGTGTGTGTGTGTGTGTGTGTGTGTGTGTG